TTATTTTATTATTTATTTATTTTTGCTTTTTGGGTCACACCCGGCAATTCACAGGGGTTACTCCTGGTTCATGCACTCAGGAATTACTCCAGGCAGTGCTCGGGGGACCATATGGGATGCTGGGAATCGAACCCAGGTCGGCTGCGTGCAAGGCAAACGCCCTACCCGCTGTGCTATCGCTCCAGCCCCTCTTAATAAATTTTGATTATTTTTGCAGTGCTGGGGATGGCACCTTGCTGGGATCTAGACTTGTGAGGCAATCTCTGCCCCCGAGCCGCCTCCCTGGCCCTTAGCATGATGCCTCGAGAGTTTGGCCTTGTCTGTCCCACCAAGTCCAACGGGGTCTCCTTGCATCAGCAGCTGGGCACAGCCGGTGTGCGGTGGGCAGGGATGGAGGCACCGGGAAGGGGGGACGGGGGAAAGGAAAGAAGGAAGCAGCGGAAGAAGATCCGGAAGGGAAGAGCACTTTAGCAAGAGCACTTTAAGTAGTAGCAGCTGACCAGAAGAAGGGGCACTGTGAAACTGTTCGCTTCTTTGGCATTTGTCATTAGGGACAGGGCTTCTAAACCTTTTCCTCGCATGACCCCTTTTCACCTCAAGAGTTTTATGCAACCCCATACATACAGGTGTGGAACAAAGAACTTTTCCTGGTAATAATAAAGAAATTTATTTATTTATTTATTTATTGACTTTTTAGGGTCACTCCCACAGATGCTCAGGGTTTACTCCTGGCTTTGTACTCAGGAATCACTCCTGGCAGTGCTGGGGGACCCTCTGGGATGCCGGGGATCAAACCCAGGTCAGCCGCATGCAAGGCAAATGCCTTACCCGCTATACCATCGCTTCGGACCCGAAAGAAATTTATTTTAAAACATTTAAAAAAAAAAAACCGGGCCGGAGCGATAGTACAGTGGTAGGGCATTTGCCTTGCATGCGGCCGACCCGGGTTTGGTCCCCAGCATCCCATAGGGTCCCCCGAGCACCGCCAGGAGTAGTTCCTGAGTGCAGAGCCAGGAGTCACCGCTGTGCATTGTGACCCCAAAAACAATAAAGACAGAAATAAAATAAATAAATAACCCAGCAAACAAACAGACACATTAAAAAACAATTGGCCTGGGCTGGAAAGAGAACAGCTGGCAGGACGTCGGCCTTGCACAAGGCTTCCCCAGCTTTGGTCCCCTGTATCTTTGCCCTGGCACTGCCAAGTGTGGCCCAGAGGTCAAATGGAAGTCAGTGACCTTGTCTGGAGTCCACCCACAGTTATCCTCGGCAGCTGGGACCTAGGATAAGTAAGTCGAGGCGAAGAGGCCTTACCTGTTAATGCCCTGGGTTTTTAGCATAGCCTTGTATTTTAAGTCAAGTTCTGGATGGAGGAAAATTGGTACGCGTGAATGCCTTTATGCTTCTGTGCACCTGTCCGTGTTTATTCAGCAGCCGACTTTTCAAGTACTTACAGTTTGCAGTCATTTCAGTTATCATAAGCAAAATCTGAGGGTAGATTGAGAGGATTATGCAGGAATACTGTGGTCGCTGTATTTGCAAAATAAAATGCTTGCGACGTTTTACGTTTTTCTAACTAAGCCCGTGTGCGTCTTCCTTTAGAAAAAACAAAGCAGGAGGCAGTTCGATACTGCATATAAATTTAGGTGCCATATGTTGGCACACTTTAAATTGCAGTCTGAAACTTCACTTTGCTGAGGCAAAGGTTTTGTACCCCCAGAAAGACTATGTGAGTGACAGGCGAACAAACCTAGCACTCGACTGCATTTTCAGTTTGGATTTCAAATATTCAAGTGGGCAGAATGGCCCGATTTATGATCTAAAGCTGGGACTTTTTTTTTTTATTGTCCTTAGTAATTACTGAATAGAAGTTAACTGGGGAAATTTTATAAGTTAAAATCTGAAAGAGCCATGTGATAATACTGCTTTAAAATTCCAGATTTATCTGTATTTATTTTTAGGCTTTTGTTGGAATGGGAGGTGGATGGGTATGAAAACTGAAATCTGAAAACTCTTAACAGATTGAAAGTGTAATTTATACACCGTGGATTTTATTTTATTTTTTAGCGATAGCACAGCGGTAGGGCGTTTGCCTTGTGCGCAGCCGGCCGGGTCGAGCCGGGTTCGATTCCTCCGCCCCTCTCGGAGAGCCCGGCAAGCTACCGAGAGTATCCTGCCCACATGGCAAAGCCTGGCAAGCTCCCCGTGGCGTATTCGATATGCGAAACACAGTAACAACAAAGTCTCACGATGGAGACGTTACTGGGCCCGCTGGAGTAAATCGATGAACAATGGGAGGACAGTGATACAGTGCAGTGCTTTTATTTTTTTTGCTTTTTGGGTCACACCTGGCGATGCACAGGGGTTACTCCTGGCTCATGCGCTCAGGAATTATTCCTGGCAGTGCTCAGGGGAGCATATGGGATGCTGGGAATCGAACCCAGGCCGGCCATGTGGAAGGCAAATGCCCTACCCGCTGTGCTATCGCTCCAGCCCCTACACTGTGGATTTTACCATTATAAGTTCCTTTAGTAGATCCATTAAGTTTTCACAGTTGTGTGTCCTTCACCACAGTCTCATTTATGTAGAGGGGTTTTGAGTCACACTTGGCAGTGCTTGGGCTCCTCCTGGCACGGGTGGTGCTCCCGGAACCATATGCAGCGCCAGGAATCGAGTTGGGCTTGGCCACAATTAATAAGGCAGGTGCCGCCACCGCTGTGGCTCCCAGTCTACTTCCAGAACATAAATCCGTGCCCACCCCCAAAGATTCTTTTTGTGTCCATTTGCAAATGAATCCCCAGCCCCACCTTCAGGTTTTATTTTTGAGTTTTGTTCTTTATGGCTACACCCAGAGGTACTCGGGGCTTACTCCCAGCTCTGTGCTCAGGGAGCACTCCTGGAAGGGCTGGGGAGACCATGTGGAATGCTGAGGTCTGAACTCGGGTAAATCACGAGCACCCTACCTGCTATACTGTCGCTCTGGCCCTGCTCTTCTGCCTTTTGTCGATAAATTTGCCGTGTGTGTGTGTGTGTGTGTGTGTGTGTGTGTGTGTGCGTATGTGTGTGTGTGTAGTGGGGGGAGGGGCGTTGGGGGGAGGGCAGTTTTGCCTGTGTTCAGGGTTACTCCTGGCTCTACACTCAGGAATCTCTCCTGGCAGTGCTCAGGGGGACCATACAGGGTGCCGGGGTCAGCTGCGTGCGAGGCAAGCGTCCTACCTGCTTACTGTCCTTTCGGTCCCAATAAATTTGCCTTTTACAGACACTGCATGCACATGGAATCTTACAGTCTCCTGAATCTTAACTTGCTCAATTTAGTGCTTTTTCGTTTCTCTTGGAAGTGAATCCCTTTGATTGGGGCTGTTTGGCAAATCTATAGTAATATCTCCTTGGGGTCTTCATTTGTATTTCCCTAATGGAATTCAGCTTCTCTCTTCTCTCTCTGTTCTGTCTGTGTTTTTTTTTTCTTTCTGGGTCACACCCGGTGATGCACAGGGGTTCCTCCTGGCTCTGCACTCAGGAGTTACTCCTGGCGGTGCTCAGGGGACCATATGGGATGCTGGGAATCGAACCCGGGTCAGCCGCGTGCAAGGCAAACGCCCTCCCCGCTGTGCTGTCTCTCCAGCCCCAAGCCCAGAGAATTTTGCCCAAAACAGAATCGAACCAACGAACTGCGCCCTTCCTCTCAGAGATCGGAGCGCGACACTGGAAAGAGCATACCTTTCGTGACCCGTTTCTGTATGTTCGGTGAAACACAGATTCAAATGTCTTGCCCACTTGGGGGCCCATTTTAAACATGGAATTATAAATATTGCCTTAGATTTAAATTCTGTGTTATAAATAGTTTAAAACATTTTGCTGTGTGTTTCAAATATTGCGGTCCCTTGAGTCCCGCCGTGTGTGTCGGGGTCACACCCCAGCGGGCCAGGAGGAGACCTCGGCTCCGCAGTGTAGCGAACACCACCCCGCTCCCACTCCCAGGTGTTTAATTTTGATGATTTTTTTAAAAAAACTGATTTTTCTGTTAAACTCTTAGTCTGATCTAGGGGCCAGAGCGATAGTCCAGTGGGGAGGGCATTTGCTTTGCACACGGCCAACCTGGGTTCAGTTCCCAGCTCCCGTAAGGCCCCTTGAGCACTGCCAGGGGTAACTCCTGAGCATCGCAGGGTGTGCCCAACCCCCCCCTCAATAACCCCCCCAAATAAGGCCACTTTTCACCTAAGCCATCTTTATTGAAGCTTTTAAAATAGTAAAGCAAATTAATTCTTTCAGTAATCTTTTCTGAATTAAAAAAAAAAAACAAAGGTGAATAGAGTTGCCTAATTACAGAAAGTACCTGAAAAAATAATGTTTCTTTTTTTTTTTAATCTTGATTGCTAAGTTTTTACTTTGTGAACCAGTTAAATTTATTTTCCAGGGTTTCAGCTTCCTGTTTTTGGTGTAATATTTTTTGTAATATTTTGGTGTAATGTTTTGTAGACATTTCTATATCGGAAGGCTTTTTTGTTTAATGTTTATTGTTTATACGTTCTCAGCCAGATGTTAGGAAGCAAGCAGTCTATATTAATTCACACTAATGTGAGGCTAGCTTTAATTCTCTGAGGAATATGCACTTATAAAGGGTAAAGTCAGTTCTCTTAATTGACAGAATTTCATCTAAATAAAATGAGTAGCTAGCAGTTTCAGGAATGTGGGTCAAATAATTGAAGTCAGACTTATTAGTATAGACAGACTGTTTCCGCTTGAGCACTTGTTCGTAGGATAGAGTCTCTTGAGGAATCTTTTTTTTCCCTAAACCTAAACAGATTCTCTGAATACTCGAAGAATTCCCAATTGCTTGCTTGTGAAGTCATTGACCAAAGAAGTTGAGACTCAGTTTAATAATTTACCTAGGGTCAACATTGTTTTTCTGACGAAGGTCGCGACAGATTCTTACTGAAAGTTCGTTTTCGGTTGCATCGAGAGTTGTATTCATGTTATTCAAGACGCTCTTATATCCACAGGTGGTTCTGCTGGGCTCCGTCACCTCCTCCCAAGGATGCATCCCGACTTGTCTCCACACTTGCACACTGAAGAGTGCAACATCTTGATAAACTTGCTTAAGGAATGTCACAAAAATGTAAGAGTCCAGCGCCATGACCGTGAAGCAGAACGGAACTTAGGGAATCCGCCTTGCTGGAAGCTGTTGTCTCCCATCAGTGGGAGGGAGGGGTAATGTCTGAGCAGTGGCTCTTGGAGAAAATCCAACACGATTGTCAGGCAACTTCTGAAATGATAAGCAGTTAGAATACAGGTTCTTCCAATACAGTAGTTTTTCCTTTTCTCACTCACAGAGCTCTAGAACAATTATGTTCAGCTCCAATTCCGCTGATCATAATGGAATTTATTCTAAATACATTCTGTACTTTAATGTCACCATTGTGTTTAAAAGAAATTGAAATTTTTTAGATGTAATTAGATATTAACCTGGTTTAATTTATAATTGCCCTGTTTTGACAGGTTTACTTAATTATTAGTGGAATGGAGGTAAAATTCCTTGGTTGAAACCAAAATAGGAGAAGCTTATTTTTGGAGTGCATTAAATTAAGGTGATATTTTTACAGATGTTAGGTATTTAGTTCTCTTTGTATATTTGCTCTGCACGGCAGAGCCTGGCAAGCTCCCCGAGGCGTATTCGATATGCCAAAAACAGTAACAAGTCTCACAAGGGAGATGTTACTGGTACCCGCTGGAGCAAATCGATGGACAACAAGAGAACAGTGCATATATCTGCTGTGTGGTAGTTATTATAGGAAACTTTTTGTATTTTTGTTTTCTTTTTTTTTTCCTTTCTGCTTTTTGGGTCACACCCCATGATGCACAGGGGTTTCTCCCGGCTCTGCGCTCAGAAATTACTCCTGGCGGTGCTCAGGGGACCCTATGGGATGCTGGGAACCGAACCCGGGTCGGCTGCGTGCAAGGCAAACGCCCTCCCCGCTGTGCTATCGCTCCAGCCCCAGTGATTGTTTTTGTGTCCTCTGGATCTTTGTTTATTTCCCAGTCCCCAAGATTCTCTCTCTCTCTCTCTCTCTCTCTCTCTCTCTCTCTCTCTCTAAATAGAAGTTTCAGGGAATTACTGTTTTGTATTTTTGATGGTGCCAGGAATCGAAGCCAGGACCCCACACATGCGAGACAGGTGCTGTACTGGGGGGGGGGGGGCACATCCCAGCACCCTGTTTTTAAAAAATGTGTTTTGCATGACATTATTTCCCCCTCCCCCCCCACTACCTGGGATGGGGGCCATGTGTTGTTGGAGATGGGACATGGGGCCTGGCATACAGGACATACTTACCCCTTGGGATTCTCTCCAATTGCCTATTGTGGTGTTAGGTTTTTCATTTCAGATTAATTTCTGTGTATGGTGTGAGGTGTGAGTCAATATTTACTTCGTGGAGATTTAGTTGTTGCAGTGACATTTGTTAAAGAGATTGTCCTTCCCCCACTAATTTATTGTGATACTTCTGTTAAAAATTCATGGGCCTTACCCGAGTGGGTCTATTTCTGGGTTTTCTAGCCCTTTCCACTGATTTATGTGCTATTCTTAACACCAGCAGCACATTACCTTGATGTGTAGCAGGTCTCAAAATCCTGCAGCCTTTCCCTTTTCCAGAGTTGTCCTGTCTGTCCTTCGTCCTTTGTATGTTTGTTGGCCTTGTAGGTAATACGTTCCCCACATGCGCAGATGAGTGCTTAGTAAATCAGGGGACCCCAGGTAGATTTCTGGAGTTCTTTGGCTGGTTGGTTCAGAACTTTGTAGTACTCCAACCTTAACTAATTAATGAATTAGTTACTTAATCTTTTTGGGTCACACCCAGCAATGCTCAGGGGTCACTCCTGGCTCTGCACTCAGGAATTACTCCTGGCAGTGCTTGGGGGACCATATGGGAGGCCGGGGATCGAACCCAGGTCTGCCGCGTGCAAGGCAGACGCCCTCCTTGCTGTACTATCACTCCAGTCCCAGTACTCCAACTTTTCTTCAGAATGCCAGTCACCTCAGCCCTCAGTTCTGCTGTGTGCCCCGAGCACATTAGAGAAATGGCTCTTGTCCTCTTGGGTTCTCTTGCTGTGATGGAAATTGCCTCTAGGTAGGAGGAACACTGGTGAGCCAGTCCTTAAGGAATATTGGCTCAGCACCTAAACTCATTTGCTTTACAGCTTTTTCCTCACATGCCCTTATTTACAGTGGGAGGGCTGGATCCTAACCAGGTACTCCCTTGTGTCCAGAAGCAGAAGTTTATTTGAGAGATGGAGTTTTGGGACGGGAGCGATAGCACCATGGTTAGAGGACATTTGCTTTGCACTTGGCCAGACCCGGGTTCAATCCCCAGCATCCCATATGGTCCCCTAAGCCCTGCCAGCAGTAATTCCCGAGTGCAGAGCCAGGAGGAACCCCTGAGCGTTGCTGGGTGTGGCCTCGAAACCAAAAGTTTCAAGTAAATGGCTCTGGGAAAATGATGTAGCCATTTGAAAAAGTAAAATTCACTCTGTACCTTATGTCACAGAAAGGAATCAGCTTCTCATGGCACAGACATCAAAAATGTCAAAAGCTAAAACCATGCAAGTGCTAAGAAAATGTAAGTTTCTTTAGGATTTGCTCATCCCGAGGCTTCTGGCCAGGATGCGGCATCTCGATCCGTCCTTGCAGGCCTTTTGCCTACCTCTGTAGGCTCGGCTCGCCCTGCCTCGTCTTCCGGTGCCCTCCCCAGCGCTGGCACCTGTTCCTCTCTCCCAGCCTGGTGTGGGACAGCTCTCGCCAGCTCTCCTTTGGCCAGGTCCTAAGATCTGCAGGCGTCATTCTACATGCTCTCCCGCTTCCTCTTCCTTTTCTCCTTTTCTGCCCCAGATTACCTTGGCATCACTCTGTTCCGTCTGTAACCGGTATAGTCCGGTTCCTGCTTCGTGCAAGGTCCTCACGCTCAAGGTAGCAGAACTCTATTTTACACTCTTAGGAATGTCTGACGGCCCCACAGAACTTTGTTTATGTGGATTTTTTTTTTTTTTTGCTTTTTGGGTCACACCTGACAATGCACAGGGGTTCTTCCTGGCTCTGCACTCAGGAATCACCCCTGGCGGTGCTTCGGGGACCATGTGGGATGCTGGGAATCGAACCCTGGTGGGCCGCGTGCAAGGCAAATGCCCTCCCCGCTGTGCTATCGCTCCAGCCCCATCTTTATATTGACTTTACCTATTGGATTTACTGAATCTGATATGAAAACTGGTTTTAAGTCTTGCACGCAGCCCACCTGGGTTTGATTCCCAGTATCCCATTAAAAAAAAAAACCTGACTTCATATTATTAATTTATTTCTAATTTATTTCATTTGATGTTAACAGTTTTTTTTTTTATAAAAATCTTTTTTGGGGGGCTGGAGCAATAGCATAGCGGGTAGGGTGTTTGCCTTGCACGCAGCAGACCCAGGTTCGATTCCCAGCATCCCATATGGTCCCCTGAGCACTGCCAGGAGAGATTTCTGAGTGCATGAACCAGGAGTAACTCCTGTGCATTGCTGGGTGTGACCCAAAAAAGCAAAAAAAAATTTTTTTTTTTTTGGTTTGCTTTTGTTTTGGGGAGCATGCCCAGTGATACTCAGGAGCTGCTCCTGGCTCTGCACTTAGGAATAATTTCTGGCGGTGCTCAGGGGACCATATGGGATGCTGGGGATTGAACCCGGGTCAGCTGTGTGCAAGGCAAATGCCCTCCCAGCTGTACTATCTCTCCAGCCCCCTAAAAAGATTCTTTTTTTTTTTTTAATAAACCAAAATAAAGAGTGTCATTGCATTGGCAGTCTTTTTTTTTTTTCCTTTTTGGGTCACACCCGGCGATGCTCAGGGGTTACTCTTGGCTTTGCACTCAGGAATCACTCCTGGCGGTGCTCGGGGGACCATAATGGGATTCTGGGAATCGAACCCGGGTCGGCCGCGTGCAAGGCAAACGCCCTACCTGCTGTGCTATTGCTCCAGCCCTGCATTGGCAGTCTTACACTTCTCTGGTCTAAGGGAACCCTCTGGATCCTCTGTCACAGTGCTACGAGGTGATAGTCTTCCTCAGGTCCCAGCTGGAGATCTTCACTGCCCCCTTGTGAGAGGATGCAGATGACCAGCCCGGATGAAGCCTTTGTTCTTTCCTTGGGGGAAAGGTCTTCGAGGACTGATGGTCCCCGACTGCATTTGGGAACCACTAGATGTGTGCTCTCAGTAGGACCTTCAGTTTGACACGCAGTGCCTTTGCGACTTTGCCTTTCAGAAACCCGCAAATGACTTAGTACCTCAGCCAGTCGGGTCCCCTAGAAATAGACGAGGCACAAGAGGCTTACACCGTGTGTGTAAAGAGAATTCCAGTCCATGGACGTTTCTTTTGCCAGTTCCCTTTGGCCATTTTGGGCTTCATGATTCTTACAGTGGGGGCCACTTTCCGTACCTCTGGTTTGGAGGGGAGGGAGCAGTTCCTGGTGGTTCTTGGCCTTGGTGCTGGGGACTCATCCTGTGTCAGGGATTTAGCTCTGGACCCCATGTCTGCTGTACGCATGCCTTACCACTGGGCTACCTGCGCAGACCTTGGGCTTTGTGATTTTTATATACTGTCACAAGAGTATTGTAATTTTCATTTGGATTTCGTTACATTTTTAGTCAAATTTCAGTTTGGGTTTTTATTTATTTATTTATTTATTTATTTATTTATTTATGGGCTGGAGCGATAGCACAGCGGTAGGGCGTTTGCCTTGCACGCAGCCAACATGGCCGGCCCGAGTTCGATTCCTCCGTCCCTCTCGGAGAGCCCGGCAAGCTACCGAGAGTATCTCACCCGCACGACATATTCAATATGCCAAACACAGTAACAACAAGTCTCATGATGGAGACGTTACTGGGCCCGCTCGAGCAAATTGATGAACAATGGGAGGACTGTGACCGTGATTTATTTATTTATGTTTTGCTTTTTGGGTCACACCCAGTGATGCTCAGGGGTTACTCCTGGCTCTGCACTCAGGAATCACTCCTGGCGGTGCTCAGGGGACCATATGGGATGCTGGGAATCGAACCCGGGTTGGCTATGTGCAAGGCAAACTCCCTACCCGCTGTGCTATCACTCCAGCCCCAGTTTCAGTTTAGTTACGTTTTTTAAGGCAAAACGTGTATGTGTATATATATATATATATATATATATATATATATATATGCGCACTGGTAGAAATAAATGTCGATCTGTACTGTGATAAGATTGCCATAACTTCTTAAAAGTCGAATTCTTTTTGTTGTATCTGCTTCATAGAAGGTGTAAATTTGTTGTCAGGGAAATATACAGGAAGTATTCTTCAGAGATCATTGAGTCACTAGTAGGAGTTCACGGTCTTAAACGTCTGCCAGAAAACGCTGACCATTTTTTCAGTATGGATTAGAAAAGTGCGTTTTAAGTAGTGATGAGGCAGGAAATAAAAAGTAGCATGAGGCATGGCTTGCTAATTATGTGTTGTCTGGTTTTTATGAAAGCCTTAATTAGAAAGAAAAGGATAAGATGTACTCATTACAACTACAAGTTCAGCACTTATAGCATGTCATTATAGCAGATTTCCGTGCTTTTGACCCACCCTTAAAACCCAGGCCGTGCTTACACACTCATTCTGGCCCTGCTGCGACTCATCTGAATTTCCTTTGAGGAGTCATGCTTTTTGCCTTAGTAGTTACGGGACTTGAAGCCACTAAGAGATTTTCACTTTTATTTCCAAACAGAAAACACTCTGAACTTCAGACGCATTTTTTTTTTTTTAAAGATTTTTGGACCACACCCAGCAATACTCAGGGGTTATTCGTGGCTCTGTGCTCAGGAGTTATTCCTGACGGTCTCTTACGGGACCATCCGGGGTGCTGGGGATCAAACCCTCGTCAACCATGTGTAAAGCAAGTGCCTTCCCCACTTCAAAGGTCTCTCAGCCTCCAGATAGATTTTCTTACGTAGTGAATTATTAGCTCATTTATGTAACCCACATAGGCTACTTATAATAATAGTTACGTGTTTCTGAAATAGTTTGATTTTTTTTTTTTTGCTTTTTTTTTTGCTTTTTTGGGTCACACCCAGCGATGCACAGGAGTTACTCCTGGTTCATGCACTCAGAAATCTCTCCTGGCAGTGCTCGGGGGACCATATGGGATGCTGGGAGTCGAACCTGGGTCTGCCGCATGCAAGGCAAACTCCCCACCCGCTGTGCTATTGCTCCAGCCCCAGTTTGTTGATGTGTTAAATGGAGGAAAGTGAGAAGTGGCTGTGACCCAGACATTTAGGAAGTGAATTCTGCAAGTGAGTGTTGGCTGGTAAAGTCACACCCACTGAGCATCATGGCCACTCAGCACGTGGACGGCAGTCCTTGTAACAGGATGGTCTGTCCTTGACTTTAACTGCAAGAGTGCTTGCACTGTCCTTGTGAGGTTTGGCCAGCCCGTGGGTGTCTCTTTCCTAGCTCCAGAGGGCTGAAAGTATAAGCCTGCCTGAATATTTTGTGCTTTGGATTTAATTACCTGCCTATTAACACGCTGACACACGAAATATTTCTGTAGGACTAAGTATTTTGTAATTCTTGGGCCAGAGACATGACTGTATTGCGGCATGAAATATTTTACCACTTGTTCTTTTTTTTAGCACAGCTTTCTGAAATTTTTTGGTCATTGCAATGATCTTGATCGAGAGATGCGAAAATGCTTGAAGAAAGAGGTAAGAAAGGTGCGAGGTGAATACGATCAAATAAGGGGAACAGAACATTTCGGAGCGATTGTGCATCACTGGGTGTTCTTACATGCCCCGCCCCCGAATGAGTGTAAGCAGGAAGGTGACCGTGCGTGTGCCCTTCCCTCGGACCGAGTGCAGAACTGAAGGCCTCTTCTGTGGACAGTTTTTTTTTTTTTTTGCTTTTTTTGGGGTCACACCCGGCGATGCACAGGAGTTACTCCTGGTTCATGCACTCAGGAATTACTCCTGGCGGTGCTCGGGGGACCATATGGGATGCTGGGAATCGAACCTGGGTCGGCTGCATGCAAGGCAAATGCCCTACCTGCTGTGCTATTGCTCCAGCCCCATGTGGACAGTTTTAGAACAGTTATTTCCCCCCTTGCATGCACATACATGAAAACAAATTTCTTACTCTAATCACCGTAATTCTTTGGTTGAAGTTTAATGTTTGGGGAATTGAATTCCCTTTCAGCGGAGTGACGTGGCCAATTCAGCTATTCTGGGTAACTAACACTAGATCTCGATTTTCTTCTGTAACATAAGAACATAGACTCCAGCTTTATTTTATTTTTATTTATTTATTTTTGGGGGACACACCCAGCGGTGCTCAGGGGTTGCTCCTGGCTCTGGACTGAACCCAGGTCGGCCACATGCTTGGCCCTCCGTGCTTGGCCCCATGTCTTGCTTCACGATCGAATTGGACCTGCTTTTCTCTCTTCTTTTCCTCCAGTTCTCTGCACCTGTGCTTATTTGTTTCCTCTCTGCTTGCAGCGTGCCCTTCGTGACAGTCCATTGCTCCTAATGCTGCCCCTCTTCCATTTCCTTCATTTGAAGCTTTAACTTAGAAAAAGGATCTTGGTTGGGGATATCACTCGGTGGCAAAGTATACGACTCATCTGTGTAAAGCCTTGAACGTGATCCTTGCAGAAAAGGTTAAAAAAGGAAAAAAGAGATCTCGCCAGTCACCTCTGAGCTGCTTTCTGCTGCCGCATCGCTACTTTTGTACTTTTTATTGGGAGAATCCATACTTTGTTTTTGGGCCACGCCCAGTGGTGCTTCAGGCTACTCCCAGCTCGCCAGTCTGGTTATTCTGAACTTGCCTCCTGTCTCCCCAGGGCCTCACCAGTGCCATGTTTTCCAGACTCTCCGATTGTCCTTCCTAGTCGTTTCTGTCCTTTGGTTACTTTCCCTCCGTTCTATCTGTCGTTTGGTCCTTTTTGTTTTCTTAGCCACTGCGGCGGTGCGTGTGGGCTCCTCCCAGCCTGCTCCCTAGGGACCCCGACGTGCCTGGATCGAACCCCAGGCGCCTAACATGATTTGCGTGAGCTCCAGACCGTTGAACTTTTTTTGGACTCAGTGGAGGTTTTGGGTTTTGTTGTGGGGGGCTTTGTGGGCGCCCACTACTTTGGTGGTCTGGACGTGTTCCTGCCTCTGTACTCAAGGATCACTCCTGGCAGGCTCGGGGAACCGAATGGGGTGCTGGGGGTCAAACCTGGATTAGCCGTGGGCAAGACAAGCGCCCTGCCCACTGTACTACAGCTCTGGCCTGGTGGAGTTTTCAGTAACACTGTCCTGAGAGGCTGTCTCGATCTTGTTGGCCGTATCTTTTTATTTACTTATTTTTTTTTTTGCCCTTTTTTTGGGTCACACCCAGTGATGCACAGGGGTTACTCCTGATTCATGCACTCAGGAATTACTCCTGGCTGTGCTCGGGGGACATATGGGACGCTGGGAATCGAACCTGGGTCGGGCCGCGTGCAAGGCAAATGCCCTACCTGCTGTGCTATCATTCCAGCCCCCCCCTTTTATTTTTTTAACTGAATCACTATGAGATACACACTTACAAAGTTCTTCATGGTTGGGTTTCAGTCATACAGTGTTCCGGCACTGTCCCTTCACCAGTGTGCATTTCCTTCCAACCGTTAGTGTCTCAAGTGTCATGTTCTTCCCCCTCCCCCCCAGCTATGGCAGACACTCTCCCCCCCCTCTCCTGGGCATTATGGGATACAGGCACTGACAGGCCATCACGTGTACCCCTCTACTTCCTTTCAGCGCTCAGTTCTCGTCTAGACCGCTCGTTTCCAATTACCATTGTCATAGTGGCCCCTTCTCGGTGCCTTGGTGTATCTTAACATATTCTAATGCATAGTCTGTTTTAATTAGTTCTTTGATTTATTTTATTGCCTGCTATGAAGCGTTATTTTCTGAAATGTGACTGTGAGAACCCCCTCCCTCCTTCTCCCTGCCTGGCTTTTGCGCTGAGAGCAGCATGTATCATGAAGGTCGCTACGGAGTATTTTTCTCCGAGTAGATACCCCTGCGTTCCAGAATTATTAAAACATTGTTCTAAGCAGTGGGATGACCTTTTCCTTAATAATTTTATGAAGGAAATTAATTTATGACATACTAAAGGGATGGCTTTGATTAAAGGGACCTGCTGCTGAATTCATCACTAACTTGAAGCAGCCCTTTGATGAGGGGAAAAAAGTTGAAAAATAGCATAGCCGAAGATCCGTCAGCACGTCGACCGAGAAACAGCCTCAAGGTCATCTGCCCAGCTCCTGGGATCTGAGCTTACTAAGATGAAGTAGCTCCATGGAAGGGATCTGTTTCAAGTGTCTCCGGGGTTCCGAGCCACACCCGGGGCTGCGCGGGGCTCTCCCTGCCTGTGCTCCTCCTGCCTGTGCTCCCCGTTAGCCCTGGTGGCGTTGGCGAGGGAGGAACGCCCCAGGGCCTGGTGCCCACACGCCAGCTGCAGGCAAGCCCAGCAGCTCCTCCGTCTCTGGAACCCGTGTCCACACCGAGGCCTCCAGTGGGCGAAGGGAGGAGACCGTCTGTGTAGACTCACTTTCATCACTGAGTTTTTGTTTCCGTGGCCTTTTTGGATCACTCTGGTTCCTGGGAAGATTTGGATGTCCAACTGTTCACATACACTTGTTTTTTCAAGTTCTTTTTACTTTTTCTCTCATACCTGTGGACCATTCATTCACACTTACAGTGCTTCTATTTTTGTGTTTTAAGCAATGTAAATATAGACATGTGACAACATTTATATATATTTTTTCTGTTTAAAACAAGCGCTTTTTCTGAGTGGTAGGCTTTGCATCCATTTGTTTGTGTATTTCCATTACTTCCATATGTTTTTACCTACTCACCAGATTAAGATATGAGAGTAAACCTTCAAGGTGAAAACTACGGTTGATTCACCTGATTGTTGTTTCCATTCAGCTGATTGCTGGAGCTTCGGTGATGGCGGAGGGTCCAGTTTTATGACTGCTCAGGTGGAAAAAAAAAAACCAGAATAATTTTCTGGGTCTTTCCTAACTAGAAGCACTCCAAGATGACGTGAGACATTAGATTGTAAACTCCTGCAAACTCCAGGGACCAAACTTGTTTAGCCTGAGTACTTAGTGGATTCCTATGTTGGGGGAGTTAACTGGCCACGGCCTTGGTGTCTGTTGGGTGTAGGTGTCGTGTTATGTTGAACGAAAGGAGGTAGCCACCGAACCCAGTTCAGATTCAGTGACGTAAAAGACGTAAGACTTTTGCGAGTAGAAACATTATTTTGTAAATACTTATTTCTTGGATGCAGATGGTGACGTAATCGGCTCTCTCTTCTCTTCCCCTTCCTTTTATTTTCCAGTACATGGAAAAGAGGATCAAGAGCAGGGAGCATGGCCACGCAATGCGAAAGAGACTGTTTAATTCTTCCGAGGAGTCTGAAAAATGAATTGTGTTTTCACTGGATGCCTTGGCTGAGAGAAGACCTAAAGCCTCTTGGTTGGCAGCTGAAAGAATCCCCCCCATTTGGTCTCCAGCCCCCTTTGCCGATCTGTAGGCACATGCCATGGAAAGATCCGGAAAAGCCTGGATTCTGACAGTGTGGGCAGAGCCTTTAGTTCTCTCCAGCAAACTTGACTTCCCGCCTCCCCCGTTTCCCTCCACCAGGGAACGCTGGAGTCACTTCTCTCCCTCAATAAAATAACTGGTTTTAATCACACTCTGTTCTCTAAGACTTGCCTGGAGTTAGGGCAAAACCATCACCGTCACTGTCCTCCCGTTGTTCATTGATTTTCTCGAGTAACGTCTCCGTTGTGACACTTGTTACTGTGTCTGGCATATCGAATACGTCACGGGGAGCTTGCCAGGCTTTGCCGTGCGGGCGAGATACTCTCGGGAGCTTGCCGGGCTCTCCGAGAGGGGCGGAGGAATCAAACCTGGGTCAGCTGGGTCGGCCCTTGGGCAAAACAGTCCCATTAAACTTCCCTTTTTGACCATGTGGCAATTCTGATGCTTAAACTTTTGCTTTGGTCTGAGGGCCACACCAGCAGTGCTCAGGGAGTATGTGGTGCCTGGGGGAGCACCAAGGCCCCCCCAATGCAAAGCACGTGCCATTGGCCTTCGAGTCACCCATGCAGCCCTGCCCTGGGCTTACACTTTGAGGACCTAAGCCAAGAAAGGTTTGGGGAAATCTCACACATACGAATTAAAAAATGTTACGACTTAACTGTTTGTAAGAGACTGTGTTCGAAAGGGTGTTTATTAATAGACCGAGTGATAGCACAGTGGGTAGGGCGCTTGCCTCACATGTATCTGACCTGGGTTCGACCCTCTAGCACCCCCCGGGAGTGATCCCTGAGTGCTGCTGGATGTGGCTTAAAAGCCTAAAAGTGCTTATTAACATTGGTGAAACTGCATCTAGTTAGGATTTGTGCCTGGGTCGACTCTGCCCACCCCGGGTCACAGCACCCTGAGTTAAGTCCGGGGGTCCACCTCGACCAGCACCCCTGTCCCCCAGGCCCTGCTTGCTGGCGCCTTGCTGTTAGTCTTCCTGCCAGTGTTGCTTCTGCCAGGTGTTCTTTAGACCTGTGGCAGAGAAGGGGCTTGATCTTGTCAGATAAGGTATCAACAGACGATGAGCTGTTGACAGACCGAGTGCTTCTGGCAGCGTCTCTGTGTATGTCCAGTGAGAGGCCTGGTTAGTGTCAGTATTTAATAAACGCTTTTTCTGTCAAGAGAGTTCAAGTGGGGTGGTTTAGCCAGATGGTTCCACAGGGTAACCGATTTGATGAGGGGGCACAGGAAAAGGGAGACTGAATTCTGGGGTTCCTTTCTGTTTTGTTTTTATCTTTTTGTTTTTTGGGTTACAACCTGCAATGCACAGGGGTTACTTCTGGCTTTGTTCTCAGAAATTACTCCTGGCGGTGCTCAGGGGACCGTATAGGATGGCGGGGACCGAACCCGGGTCAGCCACATGCAAGGCAAATGCCCCCCACTCACTGTGCTGCTGCTCCGGCCCTCTGAGGTTCCTTTCAAGACACCAGTCTCTCCTCCCTTCGAGTGCCAGGCAGATGGGGCACAGAAGTAGGCCTTTTGCCTGAAGAAGTGTGGTCAAGTGCAGTGTAGTCACATTTCTGTGCGTGTATCGAAGTCGGGGAGCAGGGCTCAGGAAGGAGGAGCCGTCCCAAGAGAAAACCACTCATCAGAGATGACGTCTGACTCACCGAGAACAGGGTGTGCGTGGGGACCCTCCCTCATCCCGCAGGACTGGAGCTGGAGAACTGGGGGGGAGTTCAGAAGTGGATTTGGATTCTGTTGGAAGTCCCATGCTTGAGGCAGCCCGTTGCGGCCCTTGGACAGCGCCTGGGGATGTGTGGAGAGCACTTTCTGTTGGAAGTGTGAGTTTTTTTTTTTTCTCCTCTTAGATTTTATTTAGTTTGGGGATAAATTAGAGGAAAAGGGAAGATTATGCCCAAGGAGACCAATTAGATTTTCATCCTAACTTAGGTCGGGATGAGGGCCTCAATTCAAATAGTGACTTGGGACTCGAGAAGTGGTCAAATTTGTGAGAGGAGTTAATTCCACTCTGTTGTTTGTGCAGTTACTGCATAAGTGCCGAGACCCTCCACCACTCTCCTCAGGTCGCTTCTGTCCACCGCTTTCGTTGCGTCCCCACTCAAGTTCTGCTGTCAGAGTCTCGGGGTGACTTCTCGGGTAGGGGCCTGAGGTCCTAAGCCGCTGGAGTCAGTCAGGGTGGAGGAACGGGTGACCACGTAAGGGCAGGCTGAGGGAGGAACTGAGGCATTCACGGCTGTGACGTTTTGTGCCTCAGGAACAGAGTTCGCTCCCCGGAGCCTCTCCCCCGTCAGGCCTCCTCCTGTCACTGTTGAGGGAGTTGCTTCTCCCCAGAGGCTGTGTGACTGGTCAGGAGTGTCTCTGCATGTTGGCTGCGGTGCAGGTGTTTGGCCGAGCGCTCGATCAGCAGAAAGTAGCCCGTTTGTAGTGAACGCTTCAAGTGTGAACGCTTCAGTTCCCATCTGCCTCATTTTCCCGTCAGGGCAGTGTCGTGTGGACACGTCCTCTGCCATGGGGTCGGTTGAGTGCCTCCAATGTGAAATTCAGATCGAGTCATAAAGCCGTAAGCAGAGCTGCCCTCCCTGCCCAAGGGACCCTCCAGGTAACACCTGGATCCCGGGTGGCTCCCCTTGCCTCAGAGCGAGCCCTGTGCTGTCCTATGCCGGGTAGCGGCCAGCTCCTGCCTCTCAGCCCCTTCTAGCAGGGTTTGAGATTGAGGGAGAAGGGTCCAGCCTGGGGCTTGGCGCCCCCCCGCTGTCTATCCCCGCTGTCTATCCCCGCTGTCTATCCCTGGCTGCAGAGACCCGGTTCTGAACCAGCTCGTTCCCAGCTGGAATGCTTAACACCTTGCTTGCCGGCCTCAAGGGAGGACAGTGTCAGGGCCTGGCACCAGGTCCCTAGGAGGACTAAGTGACATGATGTCCGTAAATCGAATCGCAGATGGCCTGGAACCAAGAAGGGAAGCCGCATTCAGAGTTCTGTTATTTAGAAATACATAAAGCGGAGTGTTGGAAGCCAGACTCGTGTGTCGACAGGGTGCCCAGGTCACTTGGGGGGTTCCCACTGGGTAGGACTCCAGCAGAACCACGGCAGATGTAAAGGGGTGGGCTTAGCTGGGGCAGGAGAGGCCAGACTGAGACTGGTCCCTAGGAGAGTCTGTTCCCCGGCGCCCTGCAGCCCAGCCTTTCCGTGGCGGAAGCGTGACTAGGCCTCACGTCACGCCTTGGGGTTCAGGTGTGTCCAGACTTCCTGCCTTCCCCAGCCCTCTGGAGCAGAATGAAATCGTACCATTTCCCCCCCTCCAGAGCAGAGGCCCTTTTTCTGAGGGTTTTTCATTAAAAAAAAAAATTAATTTTTGGTGGAGGAGCACGCCACCACACCTGGCAATGCTCAGGGGTTAGTGCTGGCTCTGAGCTCAGGGATAACCCCCAGCGGGGTTCGGGACCCTATGGGATGCCCGGATCGAACCGGGTTGGTTGCATACAAGGCAAACGCCTTATCCACTGTACTATCGTTCAGCCTCAGTGTTTCATAGAAAACGTTTATTGCCTCCTGTACTAGAAGCCGAAGAGGCTGGAAGGAGACCGGGGTGAGCGGCAGATGTGCAGTCCGGGGCCAGCAGGAGGGAGGGGACAGCTGGCCGGACCTGGTTGGGTTTGTCTCCAAGGCCCACCTGGTAATGACTGACTCTCCGAAGCACGGGTGGGCACGGGCAGGGGTCGGGGCTCTTAGGACCAGCGCCTGGTGCCCTGGGTCAGAAGGGGCCACCTGCCCAAGAGCTCAGCCGAGGCTTTCTGGAGAAAGCTAATTTGGTGGAGTGCTGTGAGCACAATTTTACCTGTGAGTGGGAATAGAAAGTTGAGCTTCTTCTGACCCTTCGTAAATGGAGTTTAAAATCGGGTTGATCTCCATGGAGTTTTTAGCCCAAAGTACATCGTTCCTGAGAAGAAGTGTGGGCCAGAGCAAATAAATTCTGTCATTTGGCCTGCCTGGTGGGCAGAGCAGAGATCCTCCTGGATTTAGCAAGGAACACGTCCACCGCCCAAGTCTGAGAGAGAAATCAGCACCTTTTATATTATTTATTGGCGGGGGGAGGGGGGCGGAAACCCCTAGTGATGCTCTGGGGTTACTCCTGGTTCCGCACTCAGGAATCATTCCTGGTGGTTCCGCGGGGGACCATAGGGGATGCCGGGGATCCACCGGGTCATCCATGTCTCAGGCAAGTGTCCTACCTGCTGACATACCTCCCCAGCCCTTACATTACTTCTGGGGGTTCAGCTGTGCCCGAGTCCTGCCTTAATTTATAGTCTTCCCTGTTCCCTTGCTGAGACCTGCGGGAGTTTCCATTGTGGAGAGAGAGAGAGAGAGAGAGAGAGAGAGAGAGAGAGAGAGAGAGAGAGAGAGAGAGAGAGTGCAGTCTCCTGCCTCCCGGGGAGGGCAGTGGCCTTCTGAGCTCCAGGCTGACCTCACTAGCAGCTGGTCACAGGCTGGCAGGAGCTGGGACACCCCATTGGCTGGTCCCTAGAGAGAGGAACAAGTTTGCTAGTCGTGGGTGCCTGTTGTAGGCCAACCTTTGAGGGCTTCTCAGCATCCTAGGAACGTGACTCCAGGTACCCACCTGCTCCTTAGCCTGATTGATTTTTTTAATTTTGATTGAGAAATAATGATTTTTTTTAGGGGCCAGAGTGATAGTATTATGGGTAGAGCATTTGCCTCGCATGCAGCTGAATCTGGGTTTGATCCCCCGACGTCCCATAGGGTCCCCTGAGCACCAGCAGGAGTGATTCCCGAGTGGAGAGCCGGAGGCAACCCCTGAGCTTTACTGGGTGTGGCCCCAAAACAAAACAGATTGGAAGTGTGGTAAAAGCCTCTGTCTTTTGCCCCAATTCCATTCCTCTTCTTGCTTGACCAACAATAGCTACTGCTATGACCTTAATCTACTTCATTCTCATGCGTGGTTTTGTGTCTAAAGTATACCTAAATGGAGGCCATATTTTGTCTAAACATTTTACTTAAAAGTTGTGTATAACCTGCTGTAACTTGCCTTATTCATAAAATATTACGATTAACGAAGTACTCATTTTTAAGTAATATTCCAGAGCGTGACTATCATCATTTACACATTTCCACGCTCATGGTCCTTTA